CCCCCCCCCCCCGAAAAAAATCTGAAGTGCCACCCCGTCTGGGTGAAAATTTCTGAAATAATCACTGTGCCCTTTGATTTCGGTCATCGCTTAGTCCAGTTTCCACCGACTACGCCACTCATAAGAGTTGGTTATGCTTTTTACATTTGAATTTTTAAAAAAAATTTTTAAACAGGTTTAGGAACTGGCCTAGGAAGAATTGGGGTGGGGAGGGGATGTCACATAGCACTTTTTTTTAAAAGTTGGGTTCAATTGGTTCGGTCCACCTTATATACTTAATGTTGTAGATGTAGTTCGGTGCACTTTATATACTTAATGTTGTAGATGTAGTTCGGTGCACTTTATGTACTTAATGTTGTAGAGATTTTCAGTGGGTTCAGTGGTTTTCAAGGACCACACCTGGCGTCATAGCTCTAGCTACTACAACGAATGCTATAGAGGCAGGGCCGGCGCCAGAGTATTTGGCACCCTTGGCGAACCTGTCGCACTGTGCCCCCCACGGCAACTAATTATTTAATTAAAAGTGCCGCCGCCTAGTTCGCCTAATGGTTAAACCAGGCCTGGATAGAGGTGCATACACCTGCAAAACCCTCCTCATTTATCCAGGTTTGGGACGTGGCGTGGGTCACCGGGATATGGGGGGGGGGGGCCGGCGGTAGGGTTGCCAGGTGACAGTTCGCTTTTTTCACATTATTAGACATTATGTGCACTTTTTTTCAAAAGCTTTATGGTGAAATGGTACATAATCAAAATCTGTACATAGTCTAAGAGAATAAGGATAGGAGAATCGGGTATTGTCTTTTTTTTTGTTTCCATATGTTAGAATGAGACAAAAATCGAATATCCATTGAACTCGATTCTCCAAAAAAAGTATTAATCACATTATGATACTCAATTGTTTCACGAGACATTTAATAAAAGTATATAGAATTATTTACATGCTATTTTCCTTAACTTGCATTTACCTTTTATTTTTATACTATAATGTTTTCTTAGTTGGATAGGTATGTTTTGCAATTTGGAACTTGGAACACTCAATAACGATTCATAATTTGAGGTTCAATGAGTATTAGCCTCAATATGTAGAGCACGAATTTGTCAAAACAAAGATTTCATTAAAGCATTATAAACATAAACGTTAATCATTGTTTTTATGTAAATACTATTTTGCTGTGTTCTAATTAAATCACCACGTAAGTGATATTTGGTTAATCTTTGGTAATAGCCATCAGTTGAATCAGTTCTCTACTTGCATCTCCCTTCTTTTTTCTTCTCGCAGAGTGAGTCCAGCATATATCAATTGTTCTTTCATTCTCTTCTTAAACCCTTGTGTGCTCTCTGCCGACATTCTGTATGGGTCTGATTTAAAAGTAAATTTTTAATAGCATGTTCCACAAAATGAACGCGCTTCTCGTGCAGAAACCATCTTAAGGCCTCTAGGCTGTCACCACTTTGTCAAGAGTAAAACCTTTATTCTGCATATACTTTTGTGTAAGATTAATTTCCCCAAGAAGATCACCCCAAAGGTAAAGTTAGCATATAAACGTAAAATCCCAGCAGCATGTAAAAGACCTTGTGCTGTATAACAACTGTGCTCTAATGTTAAGAGTTGGTGCTAGTGACAAATCGGCGAAAATATTTTTGAGTATTTCTGGGTTTCGATTGACTTGGTTTCAAAAATATTTTTTTTTTTTAAATTTAAATCAATTTAAATTAGAATAATTATTAAAAATAAGTAGACCATTTTGTAAAATATTATTTTGCTGACTCTAAAAATAAGTAAAAATTCATTTGTAATGTTTTTAAATTTTAACGATTCAGTTCATTTACTTAGAATCGTCCCACCTCATCATATATGGTTTCAGTGGGGAGCTTTATTTCACAGAATTTGGATAAATATTGCTTCCTGTCATTTATGAAAGTTACCAAACACTTCAATCGGCGTTGAATAATGGTCAAAAAGGTTTTTTCATCGGGATTAGTTACCCGCGTGGAAAATTTACGTGTGACCGGTTATCCTTTTACGAAATTCCGTTAGACCAATCGGTGTGTGCTTTGTACATATGCAATTTTTCAATTTGGTGTCACCCCCTGGGATGGTGTCACCCGTTGTAGTCCGCACCCCCTAGCTAAGTCCCTGGTTAACCCTATAAATGAATGAAAAATCATTTTTTAAAACGGTGTTTTTATGACATAATTATAGGGTCGCCTCATTTCTTATGCATCAACATATAACTTTTAATAAAGCACGCATTGGGATTGGATACTGTGTGGGAGATTTCTGTGTGATTGTTTATCCTTCTAAGAAAATCGGTTGGACCGAGCAGTGTGTGCTCTGTAAATATCCAAGTTTTTAATGGGTGTCAACCCCTGAGATGGTGACACCCGGTGCGGTCAGCACCACCCACACCCCACTAGCTACGCCACTGGCTGCAGCCGCTGCGTGTTCCCTGGGGTGTTAATGCAGTTGTTGTTGTTGGAATTGGCCTCTTAAATGAGGAAACATTCTTCATAGTTGAGAACTACTTCGCTAAAAGGGGAGGTAAAACAAT